AAAATATCTTTTTATTACTAAATCAAATCTAATTTATTCTAGACTTAAATCAAATCTATTTAAATCTAAAACAAATCAAATCTTTTCGACACATAGTTTCGACACATTGAATTACAATTTAACACACCACCTAATTCATTGTGTCTAAACTATCTATGTTCATAATGGCTCTTAGCTTTCTGAATACTTCGACTTGCACTCCCTTCGTCATGATGTTTGCAATCTGATTCTCAGTTCTGCAGTGTTCCAAATTCATCTTCCCATCTGCTACCTGCTCTCGAAGATAATGGAACCTCATTTCGATGTGCTTACTTCGACCATGTGCTATTGGATTCTTCGCCAGATTAATAGCTGACATGCTGTCTATCTTCATGGTAATTGCTCCATGATTTTTCCCTGTTATCTCTTTGACCAAGTTCACCATCCAAGTTGCTTGACATGCACAAAGAGAAGCATCTATGTATTCTGCTTCGCATGATGATAATGCCACTACTAGTTCCTTTCTTGAATTCCAAGCAACTGGTACACCACCTGTAACACCCTCTAAAACCCGCATATAATTTTCGCAAATATTAAAAATTATAAACTCAGAGTACATGTAATAATCGAGGAATGCTACAATTCTCTTTTAATAAAATAAATTCCTGTCATGCATAATTTTAGTAGTAACTCATACATGTTTACACAGCGGAATAATTTATTTAATAAAATCAAATGTTATAATAATTTCCAATTCATCAGGGATTAACACCTGGAAAGTCAACATCATATTATAACAAACAAAAAGGGAATAAACGAGTCTGACTAAAGCAGCTCGACAACCAAACGTTCCCGGAGTTACAACTATCAGAGCATGACCCGGACATACTAAAACGAAACTAAACTAGACACGATAAGCCTTCGCCAAGCACCTGAACGAAGCTCCTTAATCTGAAATATGCAACAGTAAGGGTGAGCATCTCAAATATACATTTGGTTATACGTTCATAACAAATCAATTCATGAAATCATAAGCATCACCCAATAATTAGCATATTTCATAGTTTACAAAAACCTTCACAATTCATATACCCATAACATATTACTTTTCATAATTGCAAATATTCATCAAACATCATCAACCATTTATCAATCCTACGTGCATACAAACAATCAAATATAACATTGGAAAAATCATCCATTCATGTTATATTCAAGTTAATGCAACACACCCATGCATGTGGTACCACTACACCGCCCCATTAAATCGCGGGTCACGGATAACTCACCGTTCCATTATATCGCGGACACGGCTACCACCTCAACGTTCCATTAAATCGCGGACACGTATATTGGCCACCTTGTTAATTCCACACAATGGGAATTAACAAATGCAACATGATATGTAAGTATGTAACACTCAGCATACTATGAACATCGATCAACATATCATGCACATCAACAATATCAAACATAACATGATATGAAATAGCATGTAACCACTCAGCATACCATTTAAACATCAATCATATCAAGTTACGGATAGCATGTAATCATTCAGCATACTATCTAAACATCAATCAATCACATCAAATTATATCATAGTTCATGCTCGATAACATTATCCAAAAGCATGGCAATAAAAATCCAACATCAAAACACTGAAACCAAAAGCCAGAAAAATCATCACAGTAGAGCAACACGGGCACCCGTGTTGTGCAACACGGCCCGTGTTGTGCAGCACGTCCAGAAAAATGCACATTTTATTTTCATCAGTACAGGGGCTCTGACACGGGCACCCGTGTTGTGCAACACGGCCCGTGTCGTGCAACCAGATGCACACCCTCTTCCAACACAGAAGAGCAACACGGGCACCCGTGTTGTGCAACACGGCCCGTGTTGCTGAGCGCGTACAGGATTTTCCTGAACCTGCAGCAGCTCAGAAACGGCAGTCCAAACGCGGGAAAACGTCCGCCAAAACGCGTAATTCGGTACCTAACGACATCAGGTTTGTACAATTCACAACAACCCCACAACATCCAAGTTACCAACAATTATTATAATAACCTTAATCGGGGATTAACCGTCCTTTTGGGGAATTCTACTGACACTGAGGTTATCCCTACAACTTCCAAGGTAAATTCACGATCATGATATATACTCCCAATTCCTCATTTGGGACCTAAAACTCTTAATCGATTCATAAAATTGGGAACCTAACCCTTTTCTAACAAGGTTCAGTCCTACGGTTATCGATCCCTAGAAACATCTAACAATTGGGATTTCCTACGATTACCCGAATCAACCGTACATAAACCCATAAACAAATATAAATCGAGTGTAAACCCCCCTTACCTTATCAATTAGCAGCTTTGAGTTCTTGGACGGTGTTCTTCGTTCTCCGTTCTTCAGAGCTCTATTTTCCCAAATTCCAACTTCTGTTCTTACGTGAAAAAACCAAAAAATGAGAAAATGGCCTAAGTCCCAAACATAACTTTATTTCTCTGCACCCCCACTCTTTACTCACAACATCTAAGCCCAATAACATAAAAATCCCAATATTCCTTATTTCTTTTATTTTCCTCCATATTTCCAAATAAATAATCCCTTTTTATTTTATTAATTCTAATAAAATAATTTCCCAAATTTAAATAAATCAAAAAATTGAAACTGGGGTGTTACAACTCTCCCCCACTAAAAGAGTTTTCGTCCTCGAAAACATACCTTAGACGAACAGCTCCGGATAAGCCTCTTTCATCTGGCTCTCCAGCTCCCAAGTGATATTTCCATCTGCTGGACCTCCCCAAGCAACCTTCACTAATGCTATCTCTTTACCTCTTAACTGTTTCACTTCCCGATCTTCTATCCTCATAGGCAATGCTTCTACTGTCAGGTTATCTCTTACCTGTACATCATCTATTTGGATTACATGAGATGGGTCTGGAATGTATCTCCTCAACTGAGAAACATGAAAAACATCGTGCAAATTCGCAAGTCTCGGAGGTAAAGCAATGCGATAAGCAACTTCTCCAACTCTTTCCGTAATCTGAAACGGACCAATAAAACGCGGAGTCAACTTCTTAGACTTCAACGCCCGACCAATACCCGTCATCGGAGTAACTCTCATAAACACATGATCTCCAGCACTGAATTCTAAATTCTTTCTCCTCTTATCATGATAACTTTTCTGACGACTCTGAGAAGCTCTCATCTTCTCTTGAATCAATTTGATCTTTTCAGTAGTCTGCTGAACAATCTCTGGCCCAATTACCGAACTCTCTCCAGATTCATACCAACACAAAGGTGTTCTACACCGTCTACCATACAATGCCTCAAACGGAGCCATACCAATACTCGAATGGTAACTATTGTTATAAGTAAACTCAATCAATGGCAAATAACTATCCCAAGCTCCACCTTTTTCTAAAACACAAGCACACAATAAATCTTCCAACGATTGAATCGTCCTCTCCGTTTGTCCATCAGTCTGAGGATGGTAAGCTGAACTCAATCTCAACTTAGTACCCAAAGCCTTCTGCAATCCTTCCCAAAATTTCGAAGTGAACCTCGGATCTCTATCTGACACAATACTAGAAGGAACTCCATGCAAACTCACTATTTTCTCAATATACAACTGTGCCAATCTCTCCATCGAGTAATCCATTCGCACCGGTATAAAATGAGCAGACTTAGTCAACCTATCCACCACGACCCATATCGCTTCACAATTCATAGGAGTCCTCGGCAACCCAGATACAAAATCCATAGAAATACTATCCCACTTCCATTCTGGAATAAACATTGGTTGCATAAACCCAAACGGCTTTTGATGCTCAATCTTCGATTTCTGACAGATTAAACATGCATACACAAATTCAGCTATTTCCTTTTTCATTCCCGGCCACCAAAACAATTTCTTCAAATCATGATACATTTTCGTGGCACCCGGATGAATACTCATCCCACTGCGATGTCCTTCCTCTAATATACTCTTCTTGATTTCCGCGACATCAGGAACACAAACTCTATCGCCAAATCTCATAACATCATTTTCATCAATCCTAAACTCACCACCTTGACCTTGGTTGATCAATGTCAATTTATCAACTAAATTAACATCGGATCTCTGCCCGATCCTGATCTCTTCTAGAATGCCACTAGTAAGTTTCAACATACCCAAACGAACACACTTCGGAGTACTTTCACAAACTAAACTTAAATCTCGGAATTGTTCAATTAAATCTAATTCACGAACCATCATCATAGACATATGCAAGGACTTCCTGCTCAAAGCATCTGCAACTACATTTGCCTTACCAGGATGGTAATTCAAACCAAAATCATAATCTTTGAGAAATTCCAACCACCTTCTTTGCCTCATATTGAGCTCTTTCTGATCGAAAAGATACTTCAAACTCTTATGATCACTATACACTTCAAATCTCGAACCATACAGATAATGTCTCCATAATTTCAAGACAAACACAACTGCTGCCAACTCTAAGTCATGAGTAGGATAGTTCCTTTCATGAACCTTCAATTGTCTCGAAGCATACGCAACTACCTGTTGATTCTGCATTAAAACACCACCTAAACCCAACAGAGATGCATCACAATAAACCACAAAAGATTCCACCGGATTCGGCAAAATCAGAATGGGAGCACTAGTCAATCTCCGCTTCAATTCTTGGAAACCTTTCTCACAATCAGAATCCCAAATAAACGCTTGTCCTTTACGAGTCAATTTCGTCAACGGCAATGCTAACTTTGAGAATCCTTCGATAAACTTTCTGTAATAACCTGCAAGACCAAGAAAACTTCTGATTTCAGAAACAGTCTTCGGCGCTTCCCACTGAGATACCGCTTCTACTTTTGTAGGATCCACTGCAATACCATTCTTAGAAATCACATGTCCAAGGAA